TGGGCGCTCGTCTGAGATGAGGGACGGCGCTGGGTGCTCGTCTGAGATGAGGGACGGCGCAGGGCGCTCGTCTGAGGGACGGCACAGGGCGCTCGTCTGAGGGACGGCGCTGGGCGCTCGTCTGAGATTAAGGACGGCGCTGGGCACTCGTCTGAGATGAGGGACGGCGCTGGGCGCTCGTCTGAGATGAGGGACGGCGCTGGGCGCTCGTTTGAGATGATGGACAACACTGAGCGCTCGTCTGAGATGAGGGACGGCGCTGGGCGCTCGTCTGAAGATGAGGGACGGCGCTAGACGCTCGTCTGAGATGAGGGACGGCGTTGGGCGCTCGTCTGAGATGATGGACGGCGCTGGACGCTCGTCTGAGATGTACTTAGCCAAATATGTGGCTTGATTTGTGGGAATTTTATTTTTTATTGCTTGAGGCCGGCGAGTGCACGGTCCTCGACTTCCCTCTTTTGATTTGTGGGGATATCGCTTTAGGGCGGAAAATGCGCGGTCCTTCGACTGTCCCTCTTTTATTTTTGGGGATATCGCTTCAGGCCGGCGAGTGTGCGGTCCTTCGGTTGTCCCTCTTTTATATTCTTCCTCTTTACTCTTTTGAGCGAGGAGTGGGTATCCTTCTTTCATGCTTCGGCCAAGGGGGTTGATAGTCCCTCGGCCGGTGAGGAGTCATACTGGATCATCCTGTGATCTCAGGGAGGTCCCGTCGCCTATTTATGATGCGGGCTAAAGCTTTTGGTCGGTTACCGACGACTGTCGTTTCTCATCCCTGAGTTTGGGGATTTTTGTCACCTCGACCATGATTTCAGACCTGTCGTCCTGCTGATTTCGCGGATAGACGACGCGGTGAGCTTCCCATTTCAAGACATGGGCTCTTTGCGGGCCCTTCGTCCTGGGGACACCGTCGGTCTTTCCTGAGCATTTTCGCTGTGATGGGCCGAAACGGTGTGCTATGTCGATCTTTCCTGAGCATTTTCGCTCTGAGGGGTCGATGTATTATGCGGTATCTTAGACTGAGGTGTACCGTTTACCGCTTTTAAGCATAATAATGTCGTGTGCGGCCGATAGCGGTTCTCAATTTTAGATGCCCGAGTCACCAAATAAAGGTGACTAGGGTAGGTCGATGGATCTAAATATAATCCGAATCATCAAATAAAGATGTTTGGTAGACTAGAGCTCGGGTCCACCACTTTGGGGTTTTTTGACCCTGTTTAATGGCGGTGATAAAAATAAAAACGCCAATAATAATGCTTCACTAGCGACCTCGGGAAATTTTAACCCGTCATAATGGTCTTCACCAGTCACCACCTCGGGGGGTTTTAACCCGCCACAATGGTGGTGGAAATAATATAATTAATAATAGTGATAATTATACTACCATTATTTAATAAATATTTTAAGTGTATAAATAGGAGGAAATTTGGGGTACTTAGCTTCTTATATGGGCTGCTTGGCCTGAAATATGTTGCTGAGATTGAGGCCCACCACCCTTTTTGACCAAATTTGACCTAATCCCCCTGATAATCTGCTGCAAAAGCTTTCTCCAGACCCCTTCAGCTTCCTATGCGACCCAAACCCCAAGCAGTTAGACGGGAGCAGCACACTGGTTCCATAGACCGGAGCAGCCCAACAGTGATGGAGGATGGCGACGGCGGAGCTCAACCAGACTATACGCACGACGAAGTTTCCTCAGGCGGAGACTGATGTTTTCCTCAGGTGGACCCGACGGCAGCACGAATTGGCCGGGAGTAGGCTCACTATAGCTCCGGCAACGCCGACATATCTTCCTCAGTACCGGCGACGTGTGATACACCCTTCGAGTTGGGTCCGTAGGGGAATTCCGAACTGTTTATTACTAGAGCTCTTAGGGGCCATTAATGGCGGATCTGTGAGGCTTAACTCCAATATCCGAGGCGAGTGAGCTAGAGATGGCAATCGCCACCTCGGTTCCGAGCCTCGAACTGCGGCAGCGACCAGCAGGGTGCCAGAGGTTGTTTGTAGTGCATCGATCTCAACCTCACTGCGGACAGCTGGGTTGGCGCAGATCTGGACGGGAAACTGCAGGTCCGTATTCTTCGCTAGGCCTGGGGCAACGTCGGTACTGGACTTCAGCAAGTGCAACAGTAGATAGCGTTCATGACCTTGGACAGAGATGGCGGCTTAGCATTTTTCATTTCCAGATTTTTTTTACTGTTCTTAACATTTTCAGATCCCTTTTTGACTGATTTCTTGTGATTGGAATGAAATTTTTGTATGTTTTGGGAGGATTTCTCACTTGATTTTGCTCTAATCTCTCAATGAAAGCACCATTGATGGATTATAGAGTATCCAAACATATATAAAAAAGAGAGTTGAGCTAGATAATTGGAGAAGATGAATAGTAGAAATGATATTGTGTATGAATTATCAGTTAGGGTTTACAAGCTCCAAAAGGAGTATATATAGAAGAAATCCGAGTCTGGGCCTCTAATATGGGCTTGACAGACCCGATTACATAAATGGACTGATAATATAAAAAGCTAATCTATAACACCTGAATAATAATAATGTACAATAATGAAAATGCTATTAGCTGAGTGTCGTGGGCCGCTGTCCGGGCCCAATAGTCGTGAGACCCGGGGGTCCGAGTCTATATACTCTATCAAAGACGATCAAGGTTAAGAAAAAAGTAAGAAGGGGAAGAACATGAAATTGATGTATGTGGAAAGGTTGAGGCACTACGAAAGAGGAAAGATCATTCAAAGACAAAGATTTGATGATGATGATGATGATGATGAAGAGAGGCGAATGAAGATGAAGAAGGATGCCGAGTTTTCACAAATATGACCAAAAAATAAACTATGTTTGCATATGACTAATTATGTGTACCTTGGACAATTATACCCTTATAGCTATTAAAATGTTTTAATTCCTAATAAAATAATAAAAAATAATAAAAATTAATAAAAAATACTAAAAAAGTAAGAAAAACATTTTGATATTAAAAATTTAATTATTTTTTTTTCAAAAAATTAAAAAAATTAAAAAAAATTAAAAAAATAAAAACTCAAAAAAAAAACTCACCGCCGCCTCTGCCGCCTCAGCACCACCACCTCCAGTCACGAGGGAAAAAAATGTCAAGTTCATTACGAATGCCATATTTATGGCAGAAAAAAATGAAAATGTTGGCATTCAAAAAGAGAAATATGCCACTTTTTTGGCATTTTCAGAAAAAATGGCATTTTTCTGGGAAAATGGCATTTTTTTCATCGGCCTGAGGTGGTGGTGCTAGGAGTTAGTACAGGCGGTGGGAAAGGCATCCATATTTTTTTAATTTTTTTTACGGAGTTTTACTATTTTTTATTATTTTTTTTAAAAATAAAATTATTTAAAAAAAGTTTTTGAAATTTTTTATTTTATAAAAATTTTATAAATTTTTTAATTATATTTCTATGAATTTTTGAATTTTTTTCGAATTTATTATGAATTAAACATTTAATTATGTCTTTTGACTATTTTTAATTCATATTTAATGGAAGGGTAAGAATGGAATGCAAAAATAGGTATGTTTCCAATAGGACTCATATGATCCTATTTTGGAATAAAAACATAACAAGTCCTATTTTAGGTTTTTGACATAGTTTTAGTCCTATTTGAACTAATTTCTATAAGAAGTAAACATAGTTTTTGTTGTTAATCAAGATAAAAAGAAAGAAAAGAAGTTAGACGGGAATGTCAACTAAGCACCCATGCATGATGCAACACATAAATGAAATGCAGTACCCACATAAGGTCAAATAACTTGAAAATGGGGTAGTAACCTTCAAAATTGAGGAATGGAGTATTTTTTAAGCTGAATGTATATGATTGAGTGCTTCTTGGTCATGGACATCATTGCCACATTATTGGGAGAGCCTATTTGAAAGTTTTCCAGTTTTCTCAAAACTTTTTGCTATCCTATTTTAGTTAACCAAATGTTGCAATACATGAGTGAATTGTGAAAAATCACCACTGCATTGATAATTATTGTTTCCGATTTTCAACTTTTTTCCTTTTAAAATGTTATTAACATTCATGGAAAACATTTACTGATTTTTAATTTATATATGTATATATAGTATTTTTGTTTTAGATATGAGTTTTGCATTCGATAAATGTCGTGAAAGTAAAACGAGGTAAAGAAAAATAGGTGGATAATATGATTCCCTTGTGTTGCAAAAAAACATGATTACGTTCTTGAATGTCAAACTATGCAAGTTTGAAGAATAAGGAAACAAACACATTCTTCTTAATTACAGAGTGTTTTAATTTGCTCCCTAATTTGTCAATACTTTTCCATATTTGTCATATACTCTGTACATCACATTATCAATCTTGAATTATCAACCCAATTTTATTTTAGCTCATCTCCTTCTAGACTTGTCCAAAGAGTACAAATGAGAAGTGTTGAGGTATATTACCCCAGCCTATTACTGTTTAGGGTCTCAAGACAGTACCCTGGTACGCAGTCATATCAATTAGGCTCCGTTTAGGTTTGGTTCGAACCAGTCGGCCAATTTAGGCCCGTTTCGCCATATTGGCTCATGAGAATAACCTTTGTATCCCCCTTTCTAGAAATAGGAGGAAGCTTTTCCTTCTCCCGGATGGTTTTTTCTTCTTCTCCAACTTCTGTCTAGAATAGTTCAAACTCCATTAATGGAAGCTCAACATTTGTACAATGTAAATGGTGAGGAGAGTCTAATGAGAAAGACAGAGTTTGAACATTAGCCTAAAAAGTCATGTAATTTTTTCCCTTTCGGATTTCCACGTTAAATATCTTGTTCATACATTTATTTAGATAGTTTATACATTTCGTTACTATTCGTGTTGGAATTAAACTCAATAAGAAATATATAAAAAGTAAAAAAGATAAATTGAAAAAATAAAAAAATGAACATAGCAAAGTTATGTTCTTAGTTAAGATATCAAGATATATGTAGTGTAAAAATATAATTAATGAAAAATATAAAGGGAAACAAATGAAATGTCCATAGGATGTGGTTAACATAAATTAGCAAGATACCACTCAAGCTATTACTACAGTACATAAAAAAATCTCCAAGATTGAGATTTGAGATCATCTGCTCCAGGAAAATTCGCATTGGGATTAAATTAATAAGATCTGCCAAAAGTGTTTGTTCTTGAGTCCTTCAGCAAGATTCATATCAGGCATCATCTCCAGGAGAGCTTCGCTTTCGAAATACACACAGAGCACACCATTCCTCTGTATCGCATAGTCGGAACAGGAAGAGGGAATGGCTTCTGAGGAAGCCGATTCCCGACTAGCCCAAGTCTTAGTGCCGGCACTCGAGAAGATCATCAAAAATGGCTCTTGGCGCAAGCACTCGAAGCTCGCTCATGAGTGCAAGTCAGTCATTGATTTCCTCACTTCAGCAACCCCTATCCCTACCTCTCCCATTTCTCCGTCCAATCAATCCGATCCGGACCCGTCTCCGTCTCTCCCTGGCGTCCTTCTCGAGCTCTCCCTCTCTGATTCCGAGCACCTTCTCAGTCCTCTCATCAACGCAACTGCCTCCGGTAACCTCAAGATCGTTGAACCTGCTTTAGATGCCGTCCAGAAACTCATCGCGCATGGCTACCTCCGTGGCGAGGCTGATCCCACCTCCGGCCCAGATGCCAAGCTTTTGGCGAAACTTGTCGAGGCTGTTTGCAAATGCCGCCATCTGGGCGACGATTCCGTAGAATTGCTCGTTATAAAGTCACTGTTATCTGCCGTCACATCTGTATCGCTCAGAATCCACGGGGATTCTCTGCTGCAGGTCGTGCGGACTTGCTATGATATATACTTGGAAAGCAAAAATGATGTGAATCAGACTACTGCCAAAGCTTCGTTGGTCCAAATGCTAGTGATTGTGTTCAGGAGAATGGAGGCAGACTCATCTACTGTACCACTGCAGCCTATTGTGGTGGCAGACTTGATGGAACCACCAGAGAAGGCAGATGCGGATGGGTCAATGACAATGTTCGTACAAGGATTTATAACAAAAGTTATGTATGATATTGATGGGGTTCTGAATTCTGCTACCCCAAAGAGTTCAACTGGTACAGGTGGAGCTCATGATGGTGCGTTTGAAACTACTACCTCCACTGTGGAGTCTACCAACCCTGCTGATCTGTTGGACTCAACAGACAAGGATATGCTGGATGCCAAGTACTGGGAGATCAGTATGTATAAGACAGCTTTAGAAGGGAGGAAAGAGGAGCTCGTGGATGGTGAGGGAGAGAGAGATGATGATTTGGAAGTACAAATTGGGAATAAGTTGAGACGAGATGCATTCCTGGTGTTTAGAGCTTTGTGTAAACTCTCCATGAAGACTCCTCCAAAGGAGGCTATGGCAGATGCACATTCTATGAAGGGGAAGATTGTGGCCTTGGAATTGCTCAAAATTTTGTTGGAGAATGCAGGTGCAGTTTTCAGGACAAGTGAAAGGTATGATTGCAGTCATGCTGGAATTCATCATTCTTTTGCCGTCTTTGATTTTATGCATTGCTCTGTTTCCTCAATGTTTTCATCTTGATCTCCAGCTTTTCTCTCAGGAGAGAAGATATAATGTATGTTCATGTGTTTGGTCTTATGCATTTATTATAAGTACATAATATCATTGTACATCATGCCATCATCACATAAAAATGTCAAGTCTTGCATGCCAACTGCTGTAAAGAAATGGGTCACCTGTGATGCTTTCTTAGGAAGCAAATCAAAGTTACCTAATTAGGTTAAGCTTGAAATGTAATAAGGATGTGAATCATGTAATAAATGGTGGAAAACATATATTATCAGAGTGACTTTGCTAAGCTATTTTTATGTATATTTTGTTCCCTTTTGTATACTATAATTAGTTTTGGCAGTGAATTACTGCATGCTGTTGCTTAACTTAAGTCAAGTGCATTGTGGATTACTACTTCCCTGAACAGGGGGCTGTTTCGAGTTTTGTTTGCATGTCTGTCATAGTGATGACTGATGAGTTTGTAAAACTAGCTAGTTTACTAGACTAAAGTTAAAGTTTCATATTTTCTTCATTGCAATTGCTCATAAACTGGCACATACATCAAGTATCAAGATCTTTCTCCACAACCTTCAAAAGAAAAGAAAACAAATAATGGAAAATATATAAATTATAAAAACAAGTGTGCATGAAAGTAGCCCATAAATCAGTGCTTCTTATTCTAATTGCTGCAAGTGTATATCAGCCGGCGTTGATTTACATACCAAGTTACCAACTAATGAAAATACACTGTTTGTTAGAGTTAACCTCATTGATACTGTAAGCATGATAAGGCTCAATGTGTGGAGACTTATATTAAAACAGAGTCACCTGAGAAATTTGTATATGTGGATGTATTAATATAAGTCTTATATTAAAACAGAGTCACCTGATGTTTTTGTGGATGGCAGTCACTATTCATAGGAAGCTAATTACAACAATCAACAAGACAACAATTGATAGAAAGATTGAAAGGGAAAATCACGAGAACTTGTGCTTCTAATAGAATGTTATTCTAAAGGGTGCTAGCATGTCACGCGCTTGCTTCTCCTGTAATATTACTGCTGGGGAGTTTTTAGTTTGACAAGTTCAATAAAAAATGAGATTGGCACTTTTCCTGACCTTTGAGTTATGGAGGTGATTTTTGTTTTTTCACTTTATGTAAGTTATGAGGATTCTGATTTTTCCTTTGTTCTTGTGTTACAGATTCTTAGGTGCTATTAAGCAGTATTTGTGTTTGTCACTACTAAAGAACAGTGGCTCAAGCCTTATGATTGTCTTCCAGCTTTCATGCTCAATCTTTATTAGTCTGGTATCAAGATTTAGAGCTGGACTGAAGGCAGAAATTGGAGTGTTTTTCCCAATGATTGTCCTCAGAGTGTTGGAAAATGTTTCTCAACCTAATTTTCATCAGAAAATGATAGTACTCCGATTTCTTGAGAAGCTATGTGTGGACTCACAAATTATGGTGGACATATTCCTTAACTATGACTGTGATGTCAACTCTTCAAACATATTTGAGAGGTATGCTCATATCTCGTACTACTGAACTGTTTGGATGTATTAATTCCATTTAATTATTCAAACATATTTGAGAGGTATGCTCATATCTCGTACTACTGAACTGTTTGGATGTATTAATTCCATTTAATTATTCAACCTATCCTTTCAGAATGGTCAATGGACTTCTTAAAACTGCTCAGGGTGTCCCTCCCGGTACTGCAACAACCTTGTTGCCCCCTCAAGAAGCAGCAATGAAGTTGGAAGCTATGAAATGTTTAGTGGCCATCTTGAAGTCCATGGGAGATTGGATGAACAAGCAACTGCGAATTCCAGATTCTCATTTTGCCAAGAGATATGAGACAGATGAAAATAATTTTCAACCTGCTAGTCCTCCCATGGAAAATGGAAATGGGGATGAGGCTGGTGAAGCGTCCGATTCATTTTCTGAAGCCTCTAGTGAAGTTTCTGATGCTTCAATAATTGAGCAGCGCCGTGCTTACAAGCTCGAGCTTCAAGTACAGAACCCATTTTTATAATCTTTAATAACTGTTAGCTACATCTGTCAAAAAAATAATTGTTAGCTACACCTGTAAAAACTATTAGCTACATTATGCTGAAATGCAAACTCTAGAGTCGATCTTCATAGAATCTAATTAAAGTTTCATGACAGGAAGGCATATCACTTTTTAATCGTAAACCAAAGAAAGGCATTGAATTCCTGATAAATGCCAATAAAGTTGGGACTTCAGCAGAAGAGATAGCTGCGTTCCTTAGAAATTCATCTGAGTTGAATAAGACCTTAATTGGTGATTATCTGGGGGAAAGGGATGACTTGTCTCTGAAAGTAATGCATGCTTATGTGGATTCCTTCGACTTCCAAGGTATGGAGTTTGATGAGGCGATAAGGGTCTTCCTCCAAGGGTTCAGACTGCCTGGTGAGGCACAGAAGATAGACCGTATAATGGAGAAGTTTTCTGAGCGTTATTGCAAATGTAATCCAAAGGTTTTTACCAGTGCGGACACTGCTTATGTTCTAGCTTACTCTGTTATACTGCTTAATACTGATGCTCATAATCCTATGGTCAAGAGCAAGGTACATCCATCATTCAATCATTCATTTTGTTATGGAGAAAAGCCTGTTCATTTTATTTGAACTAATTTATATCGAGATAGATGTGTAATATAGGTAAATGTTGCAGATGTCAACTGATGATTTCATAAGGAACAACCGTGGGATTGATGATGGAAAGGATTTGCCAGAGGAGTATTTGAGGTCTTTGTTTGAGCGTATATCAAGAAATGAGATTAAAATGAAAGAAGACGATTTGGCTGTTCAACAGAGACAGTCAATGAATTCCAATAAAATCTTAAGCTTAGATAACATCCTGAACATTGTGATCCGAAAGCGAGAAGGAAACGCGGAGACCAGTGATGATCTCATTAGACACATGCAAGAGCAATTTAAAGAAAAAGCTCGAAAATCAGAGTAAGATTATCTGACACATCCCCCCTGATACAAGGGATATTACTCTGCTTTAAATGGTCATTTACTGCTTTGTGCTCTTAACGAATTATATGACAATTGCAACACCCTTCCGTTTTTTGCCTAGTTTATAGCTTAGCTTGGCAGTTCTCCTTAAGCAACCTCAAAATATGAATCAGTTCCACTTTTTATGAGATCCTTTTGATAAATTATGTGAAGTAGTCTCTTGAAGTGTGGGCTTATTGTTGTTCCCTTGTTTCTCTATTTAATGATACGGGATGAGGGTGTCAAACTGTCAACTGATGCATTTATTGCAAGTATTCTTTTCATAAGTGGTTCTTTATTTCTAATATGCACATTGTAATCTGTAGGTCAGCTTATTATGCTGCAACAGATGTAGTGATCCTCAGATTCATGATTGAGGTCTGCTGGGCACCTATGTTGGCTGCTTTCAGTGTCCCTCTTGACCAAAGTGATGAAGAAGTTGTAGTATCTCAGTGTTTGGAAGGTTTTCGTTGTGCGATCCATGTTACGGCAACTATGTCCATGAAAACCCATCGTGATGCTTTTGTGACATCCCTTGCAAAGTTCACTTCACTCCATTCACCTGCAGATATAAAACAGAAAAACATTGATGCCATCAAGGTCTATTGTTTTTATATGTACTGTTTCAGTAAATGAATAACATTTCAGTCATAGTCATTTAACTATAATAGACTTAATAGCTAATAGGCAACACATTTGTGGGTGTGAGACAGGCTATCCTAATAATTGCGGATGAGGATGGAAATTACTTACAAGAGGCATGGGAGCACATCTTGACCTGTGTTTCTCGGTTTGAACATTTGCATCTATTGGGGGAGGGTGCTCCCCCTGATGCCGCTTTCTTTGCACTTCCTCAGAATGAGTTTGGCAAGTCAAAACAAGCCAAATCAAATATTCTTCCTGTTCTGAAAAAGAAAGGGCCTGGAAATATTCAAAATGCAGCTTCTGCTGTGAGAAGGGGTTCTTATGACAGTGCTGGCGTTAGTGGCAGTGCTGCCTCTGGTATTACAACAGAACAGATGAACAATTTGGTCTCCAACTTAAACATGTTGGAACAAGTTGGTGAAATGAGCCACATATTCTTTAGGAGTCAGAAATTGAACAGTGAGGCTATCGTGGACTTCGTCAAGGCTTTGTGTAAGGTTTCTATAGAAGAATTGAAGTCAACATCAGATCCAAGGGTTTTCAGCCTCACAAAGATTGTTGAGATTGCGTAAGTTGCTATAATTTATCCTCTATATCAGTGCTCTCCTGCCTCTCAATATATTGATTTGATTGATTTATGGGTTTTGGTAAACATTCTTTTTACCTTCAACAGGCACTACAACATGAATCGCATCAGGCTTGTGTGGTCAAAAATCTGGCTCGTACTCTCTGATTTCTTTGTGACCATTGGCTGTTCTGAAAATCTTTCAATTGCCATATATGCAATGGATTTATTACGCCAGTTGTCAATGAAGTTTTTAGACCGAGAGGAACTGGCTAATTATAATTTTCAGAATGAGTTCATGAAACCATTTGTGATTGTTATGCGCAAGAGTAGAGCCGTTGAAATCAGAGAATTGATAATCAGATGTGTTTCACAAATGATTTTATCTCGCGTTAACAATGTGAAGTCGGGATGGAAGAGCATGTTCATGGTATTGAAGTCTTACATATCCCTCCTTTTTGCATCTTTTGAGTAACATGTCAACACCTTTCTTGAATAAATCATGCTGTTTTTACCCATCTCTGTTAAAATACTTTTCTTGACACTTATATGTATAGATTTTCGTTCAAATAAAATGAGTTCTTCCCATGAAAGGTAAAAGTAAATCCAGTGCACCAGATTAATGTTCTAATGACTAAACATGCCACAATCCACTAAATTTGATTAAAAAAAACGCGGCGGCATTTTTGTAAGTAAACCAAAATTCTGTCATTGCAAAAAGTGCATCATTTGAAGGTAACAGTGCACCGTATATGGTTAAAAATGTAGTCATCACACTTCTCATTAGAACACTAGTACACTACTTTGTATTGCAGCCGCACCCTACATAGATTTTGGTTTAAATAAAGAAATGTCCTTCCCATGAGTACACACACACACATATTGTGAAATATATGACTCTCATTCTTATTTACTGTTATGAAAGATTACAACAATAGCTTTATTTATAGCTATAACTAGGGTACAATTAGGGTTAACTACATAAAGTGGGCTGAGCGTAATAGCTAGGGTTCAGAGTTTCACACTAGAACCCTTCCCATACACACACACACACACACACACACACAAACCTAAGTTCAAATACATAAGTTCTCATTGTAAAAGGGGTTCTCACTAGAACCCTTCCCATATATATGATGTATATATAATATATATCTATATATATACATTTTTGTTCTAATTATATACACACATATATATTATGTACATTTTTTATTTTGTACCTTTTTTCTTCACGAAGAAATTAATTGCTTTGACTGTTTGACTATTTTGTTCCTTACTATTCACCAAGTGTTATTATTTGAATGTTTTCAGGTATTTACCACAGCTGCTTACGATGATCATAAAAACATTGTTCTGCTGGCTTTTGAAATAACAGAAAAGATCGTACGAGATTATTTTCCGTACATTACTGAGACTGAGAGCACAACTTTCACAGATTGTGTTAATTGTCTTATTGCATTTACTAATACTAGGTTCAACAAGGATGTTAGTCTTAATGCCATTGAATTCTTACGTTTTTGTGCGGCTAAACTTGCTGAAGGAGGGCTTGGCTCTTCAAGGAACAAGGACAAACAAAGTTCTGGAAAGATCTCTCCTTCACCACTGAAAGGAAAAGATAAAAAGAGTGAGAATGGGGATTTGACAGAAAAGGATGACCATGTTTATTTCTGGTTTCCTTTGTTGGCCGGTAAATGCTGCATCTCTATCCTATTATTACTCCTAGAATAGTAAGAGTCCTAAACTATTTGAATTTAATGCCCCCTAGGCTTGTAAACAAGTTAATTATGCATATTTTAGGTGAACAATCAAACCTAAAACTATAAGTTGGATTGACAATTTACCAGAGGTACCTTGTGAAAACTAAGAAGTACATGCGATGTAATAGGACATTTTTAGGAGGATGAAGGTAGTATTTTTCTAATAAAATTCCATGTTTGATTGATTCAAGGAGTCTTTGAACTGGCAAGATCTGATAAGCCATTTATAAATTATAATACGTGATTGCTCATTATTCTCTGAAATTCACATTTTTCTTCCTTGCCTCACAGGATTATCTGAACTTAGCTTTGATCCAAGACCTGAAATAAGAAACAGGGCTCTTCAAGTCCTCTTTGACACCTTACGCAATTATGGTCATCATTTCACTCTACCCTTGTGGGAAAGGGTTTTTGAATCCGTCCTATTTCCAATCTTTGACTATGTGAGACATGCCATCGACCCTTCTGGTGAAAACACACCGGGGCAAGAGCTTGACAGTGAGGAGGGTGAGCTTGATCAAGATGCTTGGCTTTATGAGACATGTACACTTGCTCTGCAACTGGTTGTCGACCTCTTTGTTAAGTTTTACATCACAGTAAATCCACTTATGCAGAAAGTTTTGATGTTATTGGTGAACTTTATCAAGCGTCCACATCAGAGCCTAGCGGGTATTGGCATTGCTGCTTTTGTCCGTCTTATGAGTAATGCTGGGAACCTTTTTTCTGAAGACAAGTGGTTTGAAGTAGTTTCATCACTTAAAGAAGCAGCTCATGTAACACTTCCTGATTTTTCGCCTGTTCTTAATGAGATTAATGGCATCTCAAACAAGGAGGAAGATTTGAATAATAGTAGTGAGAAAGGAGAATCTGCTGCTGAGGCAGATGCACCTGAGAATCACCTGGAGAACCTGAGGCAGCACCGACTATACAATGCTATTTCTGATGTCAAGTGTAGAGCAGCTGTTCAGCTTTTACTAATTCAGGTAACTAACTGGCACAATATTTCTTAGGCCATAACCCCAAAAAGGCGAAATTCAAAAAAATAATCTCTACTTTTAGGGATTCTACAATAATAATTCATACTGAGAGTATTCATTAAAATAATCCGAACTAGCAATAGTGTCCACAAGAATAAATTGAGGTAAATTAAAATTATTTCCCATTTAATTCTCCCAAATCTTACCTATACTTTCCCCTCATCACTCTTCTTTTTGGGTAACACTTTCTATCTTCTATCCTAGAAGAACCACATATGGCTTTTAAGATTAAATGGATTTTAGTTTTAATTCACTTCGATAAGAAGAGCGTTGAAGAGAAAAGTGAAAGTAGGGATTGATAGCATTAAAGGGGCATTAATTTGAAGTTATCCCAATTTATTCTTGTGGACACTATTGATAGTTCGGATTATTTTTATAGACACTTTCAGTAGGGATTATTATTGTAGAATCCCTAAAAGTAGGGATTATTCTTATGAAAGTTGCCCCCCAAAAATGACCATGAACTTACACCAAAAAACTGTTTGATCCTTAACTCTTCAAGGGTCCCGTTTAGAGCCTTAAGTAACTAAAAGGAATTCATAAAATAAGTAACTAAAAATGGTGCTAAACTTTCAGAAAAGGCCGTCTTTGGACATGCTGTGTATGACAATACTTTAAAACCAACACAAATATGTACTTGGATAAAAACTATAGGCGATATGAAGATCAGCTACAACAAGAAACAGATTGTAAATTTAAATAGTAAATACTCAGTACAATTGGTACTGAATTGTGTGGATGGTTTAGAATGTGTTTTCTGTCATTGCAACTGGCCCTGTAGTCGCTTATAAGTTGGAACTTCTTCACATATCTTATCGCGTCAGTTTTTAAAGTGTCTGCATACTCTACATATCCAAAGTCAGATCAGATTTCCTTCAAAGCCCATAATCAATATTGATTTGCTCAAGTTAGTTTAGATGCTAAATGCAACACTTTAAGAGTTCAGGGTCATTTCACTTTTTATTTAAAGTTCAAGGTCATTTTTGGTATTTGGTCATTTTACTTATTCTATATGAAGTGAGCAAAGGTATTAGTTTTTCTCTTTCTTTTCTTTTGTTTTGTTTTATTTTCTTTTCTTTATGTGAACTCATGTAGCATCTCAATTCTTCTCATCTCTTGATATTTATAAGTCTGCATGCACAGTCAAACACCAGAATCCATAAACTCCTATGCTGATATGTTCCTTATAGAATGGTGAGAAATGAGTTTATGAGTAGGGAATGTATACAGATTATACATATCCAGTGCTGAATATCATGAATCAGAAATTTGGAATCATTTTGATCTCCCTAGTGGCCTAGTCAAGTCACAAGAAGACAATGACAATCTGGTGAAATAAGCAGTCACCAAGTCATGCATGGCACTTGCATTCTGTGCCCATGAACCAAGTGAACTTTTAATACTTTATCCATGTCAATTGTGATTTGATTAAATTCTGACCTATAAGATGCATCTACGGAACATATGCATTTGATTATAAACTTTTTTACTACCGAGTATGGTTGTATTTAAAAAAAAGCACCAGATCAGACTCCAACCTTTATAGAATAGCATCGATTAATTTGACATTCGTTCCGATGTAAATGTCCCAAATTTCAAGATTGACCCATTTGAGCATTCAAAATGTGGAAATATATGAAGAATGTGACACTATCATGCAATTCAGTGATACATGTAGTAGCATGATGTATAAATGTATCCCCCCACCTTACTGTTTGTCAGGATTAATATACAGATGTATCCTAATTTTTTTCTTGTTTCACCATATTCTTTGTGGGAACACGAGAACAACAATGAAAAGAGTTTCTCACCTCAATGGCATAATTAATTGTTTTGACTTTGCAAAATGACAGGCGTTCATGGAGATCTACAACATGTATAGGTCACAGCTCTCCGCCAAAAACGTCATCGTTCTCTTTGATGCTGTCCATGCGGTGGCTTTCCACGCACACAAGATAAACAGTGATCTGACTTTACGGTCTAAGCTACAAGATATCAACTCCGTGGCCCAAATGCATGACCCACCTTTGCTACGTCTGGAGAATGAGTCTTATCAGATTGGCCTTACCTTCTTACAGAACCTCATGCTCGATAGACCACCCAATTTCGAAGAATCTGAGGTAGAGTCTCACCTCGCAAACCTCTGCAGGGAGGTGCTACTGTTCTACATAGAGATCTCCCGCTGTGGACATGTATACCCCTACCATTCTTCAGGAAAAGCTCATTGGTCGATTCCTTTGGGTTCTGGTAAGCGGAGAGAGCTCGCTGCAAGGGCGCCTCTCGTTGTTGCAAGTCTGCAGGCTATCTGTAGTTTGGGAGATGGGTCATTTGAGAAGAGCTTGCCTGGATTTTTCCCATTGCTTTCGAGCTTGATCAGTTGTGAACACGGATCAAATGAAGTTCAGGTAGCCTTGAGTGACATGTTGACTGCATCGGTGGGTCCGGTCTTGCTTAGGTCATGTTGAGGCTACTTCGGTTTTGAGATGCTTGATTTTTTATAAAAATCTTGATGAGAATTTTTAATCTCTATACTTCATAATAACTACTCCATATTGGGTATTATATACGTAGTATAGTTTTGTCTTTGTTTTTATATGTTTTTTTCGCAGTGTATTACATATGTGGTTTCTGTAGTTAATTTGCCATTCTTGTAGAACCAGTAGATGTAGCAGCATTTCTTGTTAATCAAGATATTCTATTTGCGTCCAAAGATTAGTCTCTTTTCCAATATTCTTATTTCTTTTTTCATTGTTAGCTTTTTTATGTGAAGAAGCGGGACAGTTAATTACTACTCCGTATGTCAAATTGCGTAATCACATACGGAGTAGTACATTAGTTTTCCGAAAATGAGCTTTCTACTTTCATGTTGTTAAGTGTAGTCATAATTGAGGTGGCATTGGTGGTGAATAGCTTTAGTTCTTGGACAGGCTGATTCCTATTTCGTAGTCCCTTGACGCTTGTACTGGTATGGTGGTACTGGTATAGTGGTATGCTTATAGCTAGTCTGATTATAGTGTACCTAGTTAGTACAGGCTGCTTCATCATGATCCGTTTCTAGCAACTTTTTTTCCTACACATCAAATATGGAAGAAGTACAACATATTAAAGTTTAATATGTAGTATGTAGTATATCTGTATACGTTAACAATTGCTAACATTATTATAAAAAATAGTTTAAATTTATTCGTTTAAACTTTTACTCCGTTTGGCATTGGTTGCCTCTTCCCCTGAAGCAAGAAGCCAAGAACACTTGGATGGAGTTTCATTGGATTCTATGACTCTGAGTATTCCAAGCTTGGGACACGACTAGAGTCATTGGAGCTCTTGAACACTTTAACTCATCAACACAAGATAATAGCCTAATAGGCTTATAGAGTTATAGGCCATAGATGGTCATAGGGGACTTCATTGAAAGTGAAAAAAGCAGAACAATACCTTGATCCCAATCAGTGCTGAAAGGGGTTAGAAATATAGTGTGGGAGGGTGGACTCCAATTTTTTATTTTGAAGGTTATGAGTGAACCTGGGAGTGGGGAAGGGTAGCTAAATCTTGGTTGGGGGATGAGTAGCTAAATCTATGGCGTAAACATTCTGAACATCGTATGATCTCAAGAGGATACGATGAAACAATATTGTCTTGGTTTAATGTGCCTATTTTATGACATTCATAGCACCAATACCACTGATTGCATTGTGTGACATGTTTGATGTCAGATTGAAGTTCCTCTGACCTGCTGTTCCACTCATTTGTTTGAAGTTGAAAACCTCTTCTTGACCATCTTGAACGGATAACAACTCCAGGTAGACGAAGCATTAAAAATGGCTCCGTTTCTTCATCATTTCGTGTATACTCTAAGGTAGAATGTGATGCTTTTAATCTCGTAAAGGAGCCGTAAGAAACACTGAGGACAGAAAAAGGCTTCATGAGCAAGCACAAGAGAATCCCCAATGACAATGGCAGCACAAATAATGATAATTTCGTGTGCCATCCATTCTTTCTCGATTTTTTCTTGTTGGCTATAATTTGGATCATGCCCCTCAAATACATATGTATACCAATAGAAGAGAACAACTCATATGTAAATATATACTTCGTATTAAAAGTATAGGAGTAATATCTTATGAGTAACTGATTAGGAAGTAAAGTATGTTTGTTTTTTCAATTATTATTGCTTTAAGCTTTGTGCATTTACATTCTCCCTCCTTTACACATATACTTTGTTTCGTTGGAATATAATTACAGAAGTCATACATAACAGAAATGAAAATATACAAAAAGATGCTCATGCCTTTAATAATATGAAAAGGATAGAAAAAGAGTTACAAGTCGATTTTCAATTTCAATTTTTATCATTTATTTATTGGTTTGATATTACAATTACATTTTATTTTGGAATTTGTTTAATACATTCATTTAGTTAGATCACTGACAAATTTTCTTTAGTTTTTATATAATTTATCTAAATTATTATGTAGTGTTTCAGTGCCTTCATTAAAATTATTAGTTTTTATATAATTTATAAAATCTAGAAACAACCTACTAAAATTACGATTTGAGCATAATAAATAAGTTCATAAACTTAATCGGATGTTTTTAGTACGAGAGTTGTTAGGAATCATTTTACTGCACATCTCCATTTGTTATCTTTATATTTGTGTATTAAATTGATCAGTTGTTTAATCGGACTGACTTTGTTTTTGGGTCCGGAAGGTTAATGTAATACGAAAGCTCAACCTCAAATATTTCTCAAGCTTGAGATCTTGATATTTTGATTTCACAGTTTTTAAGGAAATAAACACTGTTTGACACTGTTTGGCACTGTTTTGTGTAGATTTATTTGCCAAATAAGGCAAATAAGGAAGTGTAAAGATCTTTCTGATACTGCTAAAAATGGAAAGTGTAAAGATCTTTCAGAAGCGGAGAGTATTGAATACACCATCATAATGCTCTCATCTACTCCATGTTTTGTGCATTTATTGTATGATTGTCATAGTTATAAAACTCATAAGAGTTTAATTGGACATATTATGATAGCTTATTTGAGAGTTTAATTTCCCCAAACAAAATTTATCAAGAAATAATATTTCAAAAATAGACCGACACAAATTGGTCAAAGCTCTTAAATTAAGATATGATTACTATGTACGTGAAACTGATCAAAGTAAAAACAAATGTTCTATTTGTCTCATTAAATTTGACCAATTTTGTTGACAAGTATAATAATATACGGAACACAGAAATAGACATTTATAGTTAAACTTTATCTAGTGGAAAGTGAACTAAGAGAAACCGACAAAGTTTAATTGTACGGGAAAATAATTCATGATAAATTAAAACTCCAAATTAATGGATTTGAATTTTAGGAATAAATAAATGTGTGAAACTTATTTAATTAGGATTGAGAGCCAGTGCTTAAACTTCTCCATATAATTCCAGGTATTCTTACTTTCTTAGTGGTAAATGATCATCGGTTGAATTCAGATGATAAACTATCAATGATAAACTTAGATTATTACTCAGTTGAAAACTTAGATTATTACTCAGTTTCAATTAGCATTTTCAGTTAGCAAGTGATTATGACTAAAATAAAGATGGTAATTACATATTAATTTGATAAGTCCTGCTATGGCTGTTTGATTCATTTCTTTCAGGATAAATCATAATCACACAATTTTTTTCTTGTTATTTCACATTCTACTTAGATAAAGCTGTTTGTTCCTACCTTTATACCCACTTTTATATACATCATGTTTGTGCATAGTTTTCTTTTGTTTGTGAATCCCGTTCAAAGATAAAATATGTCTGTGTAAATTTTGTACAGACAATAAGACATATTTTATTTCAAACTCAATTCATAGATAAAAAAACTTTCACAAAAAGCTTTATCTTTTATTTATTTGATTGATGTGAGAGTATTTGTGAGAATCTACGTAGTACTTGATTGTACATCAATTTGTTAAATAAAATAAAAACAATCCCATCCTTCAAGGGCCCATATATGAGCTGATTGTGTTGAATTATGACAGCTAGGGTTATGGGAGACCAAGAGAGATGAGGGTGGGTGCGTGGAAGGAGAGGGGAGGGGTGTGGGACCTATGTTTCCTTCGCCCATGCGCACGCTGTCTTCAAAAACCAAAAGAAAAATCAAGAAAATAAAAAGGAAGTAAAGGAAAAATTAAGAAAAAAAACAATACTCCCTCCGTCCCAATTTTATAGTCCCATTTCTTTTGGGCACAAGTTTTAATAAAGTGGTTGAAAAGGTAAAAGTTCTCATTGAGATTTGAGAATAATAAAGTGAAATAATATGGACCACATCTTTCTTTCCAAAAAGGTAAACAAGACCATCATTTTGAGACATCCCAAAAAGGAAATACAGGACTATCATTTTGGGACGGAGGAAGTAGTTTGATAACATTAAAATTAACATTAACTGAGTTGACTGATTCTACTGAAATTTATAAAGTTTTGGCTGAAGTAGTTCAATTGGCAGATTTTGCTGACTTATGAAAAAATGTAGTTAAAATATTCTTTATTAATAAAATTAAGAAAAAATACTATATATATGGAAGTAGCTAAAATGATCTTTTACAATAAATTCAGCCAAAAAATAACTCCAAACTTACTTTTTCAAATTATTACATAATTCAGCACGCAGAATAAAAAATTAAGCGTAAAAAATTGAGTTATAAAACAGATAAGCCAAAATATAGAATCGCCAAATGAACTCTCAAACCCTTAAAACCATTATTTCCATTCTCATCCATCCAGCAGCCATAACATAGATCCAATCCTCTCCTTCATCTCCTCCATCTATCTCTCTAGGCTAGGGTATAATCCATTAGTCACTTATCACAACCCTAACCCTTACCAACATCTCTAAGCCATCACTGTTCAATTCACTCCTTTTGACTGACAATTCTTTCTTTCTGGTTAAGGTTAGATCAGAAGAATCCTTTTGATTTTTCCATCCACCAGACTTGATGAGAAAGATCAGCCAACCAGGATGCTCCTGCTTGCTGTTAGAAAGGGGGATTCTTGAATTTCCGGCCATTGAGCTAGCTCAGCTAGCTAGAAGTTAAAGTTTAATTTGTTTATAGAACTCTTGATCATATCGCCGGCGAAATGGATCCGCTCACATCTCATCATGGCCGCCGTCCTTTGACGCCGCCTTTCTATAACAGTAGGGACGTCCAGCAGCAGCAGTTCCACCACCAACTACTACCGGAGTCAGACGACGGAGGCGACCGTCAGACTGCCCAGAAGTCAGATCGCGATGATGACATCACTGCGACGTCCACGACTAACAATAGCACTACTTCTAATGATTTTGAGGGGAGGCAAGCTTTGGTCCTCTCCGCCGGCACCGGAGATCATCAGGCGGCGGGGAGGAAGCCGAGAGGAAGGCCGGCCGGGTCTAAGAATAAGCCTAAGCCGCCGATCATCATCACGCGCGACAGCGCCAACGCTCTCCGGTCGCACGTGATGGAAATTACCAACGGCTGCGACATCCAAGAAAGCATCACCAACTTCGCCACGCGGCGGCAGAGAGGTGTCAGTGTTCTGAGCGGCAGCGGGAGCGTCGCCAACGTAACTCTCCGTCAACCGGCGGCCTCTCCGGGAGGCCCCGTCGTCACTTTGCGCGGGAGATTCGAGATTCTTTCCCTCTCGGGCTCATACTTGCCCCCGCCCGCTCCGCCCGCTGCGTCGGGGCTAACAATTTACCTCGCCGGAGGTCAAGGGCAAGTCGTCGGCGGGAGCGTCGTGGGGCCGTTAATGGCCTCCGGTCAGGTGACGATCATCGCCGCATCTTTCGGGAATGCGGCATACGAGAGGCTCCCGATAGAAGACGACGAGTCCCCCGCACTTCACGGGAACGAAGAATTGGGGGGCGGGGGCGGCGGAATGGGTGGTTTCCGGCAACATCCGCCGCAGATAATGGTGTCTTCGGATGAAACAATGCTCCAAGGTTTGCCTTCCAACCTTATAGGTTCATATCCGGCTGAGGCCTATTGGGGCCGCGGAAATACTCGGCCTCCTTATTGACAAATTTTGGTAATTCCAAATACATAATAATAATAATGTTGATTATTTCTACATATATGGACATAATAATTGGAGCAACTTCTTAGCTCCTGTTTTAATTTTTGTATTTTTCCCATATCTATCTTTTTCAGTTTAATTTGATTATGGTCGTCATTTCAGCTCAGTTTAATTTGGTAAATTTTTAGACTGGCGTTTATGTGTATCAATTTTCTATTACTTTTAAGTTTTCAGTTTTGAATAATGTAATCCAGAAAATAAAAAGCTCTGGTAAAGTGAAATTTGGGGTGTCCCAAAAAAATAAATAATCCAATCATATATTCAAGTTTTCATATTCAATATCCTTTGCCCTCAAAAAGTGAAATTGTCACTCCTCATTTTCATTATCCTTGTACAACTCTGGTGTATGAATCTTGATTTAATTAATTAATTAGTACTCTATATTTTTTAAATTCTTCTTTACAATAATTAGTTGGAAAGTTCTATACATGAGACAGTGAGACACATGAATTTAAGGACTAGGGGTGTTTAATTTGGGTATCTTGTCAGTCAATGTTGAAGGAAAAAATCAAAGTCCTTAAACTTTTTTTGTCTAATACAAATATACAATCTGTAACTTTAAGGTGTTCATATATACCCCTTCACATTTAATTCCAAATGTAAATACGTTTCTAAAGTGCAATAACATATTAGAACATTTAGAAACACCTAATATAGTGAACATGGAAATAAAATAGATTTTTGCTATAAAAAAGTACTGATCCTGTGATCCAGTCATCTAGATAAGAAAAATGGCAAAAAAACATACGGAGTATTTTGCTTTAAAAATTGTGAATTATAGTACAAAATAAAAGTGTGTGTGTATATATATATATATATTAATTTGAAAAATTGTACGGAGTAATATATATATATATATATATATATATATATATATATATATATATATATATATATATATATATATATATATATATATATATATATATATATATATATATATATAGATTTAGGATCAAATGAGAACAACGCTTAACGTGAGAACGTGAGAACACCACATTTACCCCAATATGATGCACAATGAGGCTCGTCCAATGCACATTTTCGTGTTCGTCATAGTATTTACCAAAATGCCACCGTCATTATTTATATTAGCTTATTTGGAGCAAAGTCAAAATGTGCATCAGACGGGCTCTATTGTGTATCACATTGGATTAATTGTGAGTGTTCTCACGTTCTCACGTTAAGCACCGTTCTCATTGGAACCGCACCCTATATATATATATATATATTGAAATAGTATTTTTATGTTAAATTCTTCTTCTGAATATTTTTTCACAAGAACGTAACTTAATATACCTGTAACATAAAAGGAATATATTTTCAAACTCTATTTTTTTCGAATTGTGTACACTACTAAATTAAATAATGTTAAATCATATCATCCAAGATTAAAAAAATACTAAATTAATGTTTGTTTAATACAAGAAGAGACTTTTTATTGTAACAGAATTTTTTAATCTTTTGCAACAAGACTCGGATTAATGTTGCATGATATTTTAAAATATGTATGGGAAAATAATTAAATTTGTATGCAAAATTAAAAATGAAGCTCTTAACATCACATAATTTTTATTTTTACAGATTATTTTTTTCTCTACTGGTTTTAATCTGTTTAAGCAATAAAAGTTGATTTTAATTTGATATTTTCTCAACTCAATATATTATACTACGTACTACGTAGTTAGTTAATTTTTGGTTCTTTTTAATATGTTTTCGCTATTTAAGTCGATCATTAAGGGATTTAAGGCCTGATTTTCTTGTTTATAGAAACATTAGAGGTAGTTTTAAGTTTTCTTACATATAGCTAGGGTCTTATTTACATGTGAAGTTAAATACTAAGTGTGATTAAGTGATTTATTTATACCTTTTCGTTACTTACATAGATAATTAATAACAGGTAAAGGGCTTTGATTCTTCAGGATATGGCTTTATTCATTCATTATATTGTTTCTTCGGCTCTTAATTCAATCTTAAAAAGCTTGGATCTCAATTATCGTTTGATCCATAAAGTTGAACACAAATTAACAATTTGATCAATAAGATACCTTAGCTTTATTCATATACGCTATCTAACCACGTGGGCGGTGGGAATTAATAATGGGAGTCAATCATCACTGCACATGTTCATCCCATTCAATATGGAATATATATTATTTCCCTTAATTTATGTTCAATTCACTCCAAACTTCAGAATTTAAATTATTGTGACTAATTATATCACAAAGTTTAATGTTTACGAGCACTTGTTCTTGGGCATATTTCAGTTTCATAGGCCAAATTAATTTAGATCAAATTAATTCTTGGGCATAATTCTTGGGAAGAAACAAGACGTAGTCAGAAAAGTCCAACTAAACAAGCCTATATTTCAACTCAAATGAACGCGTCTTGGGAGTTGGCAAGATGGGTGAGCGTTGGACATTAAGGGCCCATTTGGTAATGCCCTTTGGATCGACCGATTCTGATGAAACTTATGAAATTGTGGTTGAAGTAGCTAAATGAGCTGATTCTGATGTTTTTTGTAAAAAAAATATTACCTCCGTTCTCATTTTAACTTCCAAATGGGTTTGGCACAATGTTTAAGATAGTGGATATTGTGTGGTGGAGAGTTGTGCAGAGGAGAGAGAAATGTGTAAGAAATGTTGCGAACCACAAATTCTTTACCAAAAAGGGAAAGTGAAAGTTTTAATTGGAACGGACGAAAAAGGAAAGTTGAAAGTTCATTTAGGAACGGAGGGAGTACGTAGTATAATCAAAATATATTTTATTAATATGAAAAAGAAAAATAATATGAAAAATTGCTAAAATGATTCTCTACAGTAATTTCAGTAAATACAGCCAAAATAGTAACTACATCCAACCTTATTTTTTCTTGTTATTACACAATTCAATTAGCTCACAAAAAAGTTACGTGTTGAATTAATAAGTTACGTTGACTGATAAAGCTAATAAGCAGAAAAATATGGTCATCAAATGGGCTCTAAGAATAGGCACATTCATATTGGTTTTTGATTCGATTTAGTTCAATTTTATATGATTGGGTCTGGTCAAATGGAACCAACAAACACTACTCTATCAAAATTTTAGAATCCGTCAACACTAATTAACATCGATTGGATCGACTACTTGATCAATTTGCTGAATTAGTGCAATTCTACTTGAAACAGTTAACTTGACTGGATTGACTAAAATAAAAGAGTTGTATAGAGTTAAGCTAAAATAGGGAAATCAGTGAGTTCAGTTAGTAAAAAATATGTGTTTTCAAAAAATTGATTATTGAAAAGCTGAAAATAGGTGCTACTGATGAGCAGACTATGAGAAACATATACATTTCAAAATCACATAGCATATTATGTATGAAATTTCTACATGGTTTGGGATAGTTTTTGGTTACTAATTGGTTAAATTGGTTCATATATAAAATGTATATATAGTAATTCACATACAAATCAATAGTTGACATTAAAATCTAAAAAAATCGTTTTTTAATAAAATGAAATACCATTGGAACAACACAATAATCAAAACTAATTTAACCATTAAAAAAATAAAAGTAAATGATCAATTCCAAACTCAAACTTAAGGTCACAAATTCAAAATTCATTCAATTCCAGTAAAATATGTTGGCATCGTTGAACTCATAATATAAGAGACTAGAAAAATCTAACAAAAAAACAGGAAAAAAGTAACGGCAAATGCATATATACCTTATAAAAGCAATGTAATAGCTCATGTTTAGATTATTGCCTAGAAAATCATCAATCGTCACTCAGCTCTATAAGTAATGATGGTTGAATGTTAAAGAGCCACAACTAAATCTGGGTATCATACACTCACCGTCCCGAAAAGGTTCACCAAATTAACGATAATAATGCCTTTACATCGAAGCTTTTGCGTCAACCCATTAGTATCCACATGTCGACGCAAATAAAGCATTTGCGTCCACATTTAACTTTTTTGTGTCGACTTTTTATCGACGCAAAAAATACTTTTTCTTGTAGTGTTGGTCAATGACAATCAAATTTGACAATGATATTTTTTAATATGAAATTATTATGAATATGAAAATTATATCAAAGTGTTCCTTATTCAAATTATTTTCATAAAAGTATAAAATTTATAAATTATATACAAATAGAATAATTAAAATCAATGTTCAAAGTTTGTCATCATTGACCAAAAAAAGTCAATACTTAATGATATGGAAAAGTGGTCGGGAGCATCTTTAGATAGAAATATTGTGTTTCATTCTAAAAGTAGTCCCTTTTATAAACTAGTACTTCGCATATGATCATATTGATATGTTTAAATAAGCTACTCACTTCAATTCGTTCATCTCTTGTAACTTTTCAATTTTTTTGTCATTTTAAAAAGAACATTTTTTATTCAGTTAATTTGCGTTTCCTATTATATCTTTCCTCTTTGTGCAAATTTTAACTGCTGAATTTTTATTTTAGAGAAAGTTCGCTAAATAGGAGTAAAAAAGTTTTGAAATTCCAAAATAGGAGTATCATGTTTTTAATTCCATGAATAGGAGTAAATTTTTGCCAATAGGAGTATCATATTTTAAAAATAGGAGTATACTAGATTTTAAAACATGCCATTTTTTTAAAACTTGTCACATTACTCCTGTTCAGAGAATAAAAAACATGATACTTCTATTTTGGAATTTCAAAACGTTTTTGCTCATATTTAGAGCAATTTCTATTTATTTTATTTATTTTATTATTCAGTCAAATTTGGCACTGAAATTTCTATAACGTAACTAGATAGGTATGGGCGTATGGCTTCGTCAATAAGCGATCTAAGAGCATGCACGCGCGATTGGATGTCTCCTTTTTCTCCCTTATGATATAAAAAATAATCCTAGCTTTTGACATCTTATTTTAAAATTTCACGACTGAATTATCTTGTCAACAACCAAACCCCTAAATGGTTATTAGAACAAGAAAAGAGATTTTTTTCTTTGACCAACCAATTAAGTTTTTTTACTCCGGGGGATCTCGGGGCTCTGGGGCCTGGAGTAATCAGGATTGAAACTCACTCCATTGAGTTTCAAACCCTTATGTGCCTCATGGGTTTCGAACTCGAGACCTCCCAATAAGCACGGTAACTTCACAACCAACTGGACTGGAATGCTTGGTTTGACCAACCAATTAAGGATGTTTTTACTTGGAGTGTAATTCGTCCCAGACCAGACCAGACCAGACCAGACTAGAACAGACCCGACCAGACCAGACCAGACCAGACCAGACCAGTTCAGACCAGACTAG